ATCAAACTAACAACAAGATATATATATGAATTATTTTGGATTCTATAATTAGATGATAAAATAACTTGCTTTATTTATTGATATAGTGGAAGAAAAGAAACAAAGATTCATACTATTATTTCTTCAAGATGAATTTGACAAGTCTCCAATGTGTTAAATATTGAAAGGATAATTTTTTTTTATCTAATTACATAAATCATTCATTCAAGAGAAGGCATATATATATATATATATATATATATATATAGCTAATTATGTATATTCATGATTAAAGATCTCGTTTTATTTGATATAAATGGAAGAAGAAAAACAACAATTACATTATTTCTTCAAATTTTGGCGAGTGTCCAATGTGTCAAATATGGAAAGGATTATTATTATTAATTTTTTAACAGCAATTGGGATTCCCTGGTTGGCACTCGCAAACATGGAAAGAACACTTGAAAAATGTCTTGCAGACTTTCTTGCAATCGGCATCTGTATTGCATGAGATTGGCTTTGCACCCTGTGCTTCAGTCTTCTCCAAAGTTGACAGCACTACACCTGCATATATTTCATTCATGACTAGTCTTACATTCATTACTATGTAATATATTGTAATATGTACATATGCAGATATAAACTGGAGAAACATGCCCATAAAAATGCGTGTCTTCCTTAATATATTAATGACAACAACATTGTGCGTGTGAATATATATAAATATGCATGGATAATTATTTTACACATATAACATGTATAACACATGCCTTATATATTTATTGTATCTTGTTATTATTGATAAAAATTCATTTCTAAATAATTTTAAAAGTTTTGCTGGTTACCTCAAATTTTCTAAAAATACAATACTATATCTACTTATATTCATAATACAAAATCATTACTCATATATATAAGCACATATGCTCGTAAAAATCATATGTGAATGAGCACGCATGCATGCATATACATATCATGCGTATATATAAGAGAGACGTACATGATGTGAGGAGAAGAGCCATGAAAAATGTGAACTTGAAAGGAGTCTCCATTCTGCTATGTGTGTTTGGAGAAAACAAAACGCTTTGGACAAGAATGCTCTTTTGATTTACAGCAACATGTGGTTATAACAATAGCTAGAAGAGCAAGGTTTTATAATAGTGAGAATGGGCATAATAAATTTGATACATTGTATTTTTATGTTCATATATATGTATAAATAAAATGTTTTTAATTAGATATTTTTTAAGAAGATATAGATTAAATATCACATTTGATTATTCATGATACTACATATCAACTTATTTATAAATTCTCATTAATATTGTTTTAATATGTCAATGAAGCAAATGCAAGTCATTAAAAGATGCATGGTAACTTTTATATTAATTAAGACCAAGCAATTAATCTCGTCAAATTCATAATTTTTTTTTCTAAATATATAAACAAAACGTTGACCATAAAATTGAATGAAATTAATATGAGTATCAGGTGATCATATATTTAATCATTTATAAATTCTCATTAATGTTATTTCAATATGTTAATGGAG